ACTTTGGCTGATTTGTTTCGTTTGATCTAGGTAGCTGCATTTGACGTGATTCTGGTTTCTGTTTGGCTTGAACTGTATTGATTTTGTTAAGAATAGTCGTCAAAAGCTGCCTCTAGGCCTGAAGGTAGTTATGGTGCAGGAGGATGCTTGAGAATGTGTTTCATGTGAAAATTATAGGGTGCACCTAAAATCCTCCTGTTTGTGGCGTCTCAATGATTTCTGTAGAGCTTCGTTTCAACACTTGTGTCCATATTTGTCGTTCACGAGTGTTCCAGTAAATGTTTATGGCTATAATCAGTTACATACAGTTGCACTAAGAACTCAATGCAACTCGGTGCACAATAGTATATACACAAATAAACTGAAAAATAACGCCCTCCTTAACTTCTGAACAAATTTTCTTTATTACAGGATAATAACTTTCTTTCACGTATGAGCCTGAGATATGTCTATGAAATCACAATATTATATCAGTTAAATCTCGCCCCGAAACCAAGGCCACTTGAAACCAATAGCAACATTGAGACAAACGTCATTGAGGGGATATGCAATAAAGTCGCTCCGATAATAATACAAGCAAGGAAACATTTTCCTTTAAGCTTAAGTATGGTTTATTGTCAAATTCTTCAATAAACACAATATGGTTGCTCCTGCAACATTAAGTAGAGTTATATGAACCTAATGGAGAGATCCAACTAGTTACGCTTCATTGAAGACATGAAGCAAATCATCATTATCAAGAAGGGAGTGAATTTTACACGCTCTTATTTAGTTTTGGCTTTTGTTGTGTTATACGCTCCAAAAGTCTACAGATTAACTTTAAATCAGTTTATTCTGATCAAAGTTAGTTTACTTTTCAGATCTGAGTCTATTTAAATTATAGGAAATTGTGTCTTATAACATAATAGTTACATATATTTTTGTGCACTCATTGATTTTTATCGCTGATTTATAAAGGTGTATATACATCTAAGTTATATTTAAATTTCTTCGCCAGTCCGTTCTAGACAGTATGCCCATCAGAAAAACCGCTGCGGAAGGGTTATGTGCCAATTCCCAGTGGATGAGGGAATGCAGTGTGATAACTGCAAGAGATGGTTTCACAGTATGTGCACAAACCTAACTCATGCAGCATACAAACGCTGCTGCAAACCTCTAGCAAACTGGTTGTGCAATGACTGCTGTAGTACTACCAAACTCCGTGTTACAGAAGCCACTGCCACTCTTAGCGGGGCTTTAAAGCTCATGGACTGCAAGGGTCTTCAATCATAGGAGAAGACTGACTACTTCTCAGACACCGAAGATGCGACTAGCGTCATCGACAAAACAGTACTTGTTCCTAATGAGTCTTTGTCAATGACTGAGTGCCCTTCACCACAGAAGAGCACTCACCACATTCTAGACACCCAGGCTGCCCCCACGATACTGGATAAGCCCTCCAGTGACAGTAACGGAAAGACTGCAATAAAGAGGAGGCGTACCAGGGGTCGTAAACCTGCAACTCAAGTTACCCAGGTACTAGTGGATCAAGCCTCATCCACACCGGTGAGTAGCAGGCAGATAAATCCTGCTACGACTAGTGAGGAGAACGCCAATGAATGGCGTAACGTAGTCTCTCGCAAAAAGCGAGATAAGGACAATACATTGGCCACAGTGCCCACGAAGAACAGAAAGACATTCACGCCGCAGAGCAAGAAAGCCACGGCAAGCAAACCTGATCTCTCTGACAGGTCGCTCATTCTCCACAAAGTGGAAGAGTCACTGGCCCCCGAACCCAAGACTAGATTTGAGCATGACCTTAACTTGGTTAAGCCCCTTTTAGACAAGCTACTGCCACAAACAGTATCAGGCATTACTATACAAAGCGTATATAGAATAGGCCAAAAGCCTGACCCTACAGTAAGTCAGCCTGTACGTCTCCTCAAAGTCGTACTAAACCCTAAAGTAGAGAGGGATGCTATTCTAAGCAACTCTCATATACTTAAAGGATCAGGCATATATGTCCGCGCCTACTTAAGCCTGGCAGACCGTGTCAAAAGACAGTCTGCGGCCCTAGAATTAAGCGAACGACGCCGAAATGGCGAGAAGAACCTTAAGATTAAGGGTTCTCGGGTTGTTCAAGTTCGCAGTTTTATGATCCCGAAACCTCTGTGGGTAGGCCGGGGAAGCACCAAACTGAATTAACAGTTTGCTACACAAACGCCCGCAGCCTTTTAAATAAACCGACTGAGCTGGTTAACATGATAGACTCCGAAAACCCGGATGTAATTATTATCACAGAGACATGGCTCACACCCGATGTCACTGACAGCGAAGTTAACTTGCCAAACTTCGAACTGCATAGGGTGGACCGACTAAACCGCAAAGGAGGTGGCGTAGTCATCTACCTCAAGAAATGCTTAACTGTGAGTAGTATCGAAGCACTCGCTCACGAAAGTGAGTCGTGCGAAATTCTACGCTGCATACTTAAATGCATAGGCCAAGACATTGACCTCATTGCTATGTACCGCAGTTCTGACTGCAGTGCAGATGACTTCCTGATAGAGAAGCTAGGCTCCTGGACCTCGAAATGTCGAAGTCTCGTAGTTGGCGACTTCAATGCCCCAACAGTTGACTGGACGAGCCTAACAACTCCATCCTCAGTCAACTCCTTTGATTATAAACTGCTGGAATCTAGTATATCGTTAGCTCTAGTCCAACATATCATCAAGCCCACGCGCTATGACTCACAGCACTCCTCCTCAACTCTGGACCTAGTGTTCTCCCATGGTGAGGATGTAGACCTCATACAACATCTTCCTCCTTTAGGAAGAAGTGACCATGCTGTGCTCACTTTCAAGTTCACAGCAGCGGCAGTAAGGGCCGAAACCCCATCTCGACCAAACGTTTGGAAAGCTGATATAAATGCAGTCGTCTCAGCAGCCAACTCAGTAAACTGGTACATCAACCCAGAGTCTCAAGTAGAAGCTGCATGGAACCAATTTAAACAACTTTACGCCCAAGTAACTGAACCTTTCATCCATTGGTCTGTCCCAAAGGGTCGGAAACACTGCCTTCCTTGGATAAACCGAGAGATTCGTTACTTAGACGTAAACACAAATGTTGGAACTTGTTTGCCACACTTGAGACTTCTGAGACCAGGCAATTATATAACACTGCTAGAAATAAAGCTATTGCAGAAATCCGCCAATCAAGGATGAAATTCGAAGCACACCTGGCTCTAAATGCAAAGGCACAACCTAAGAAAATGTTCTCGTACGTGAACTTCAGGAATAAAACATCCAATGGTGTCCCAAACCTGACTATTGACAATGATACAATCGAAGAAGATCAAGAAAAAGCAGAAGCAATGGCAAACTACTTCTCCCAAGTCTTCACTCAGGAGTCGTCACTGCCTATAGGATCAGCTCTGGCTGTATCAGAAGAACATGGGATAGATTCCGTTGACATCAATCAAGGCATCGTGCTCAACTGCCTAAGGAAACTAGATGCAGGGAAATCAATGGGTCCTGATAATCTTCACCCAAGGCTTCTCAAGGAGTTATCAGCCCACATAGCCGGCCCTTTGACTACGATCTTCAAGCTTTCTCTCCAAAATGGAGTGTTACCGCCTGACTGGAAAGACGCCACAGTAACCCTCATACACAAAGGAGGATCAAGACAAAGCCCTCCAAATTACAGGCCTATCAGTCTCACCAGCACTATAATTAAGACACTGGAAACAATCATCAAGAAAAGCATAATGGAATATCTAGAAAATAGAAGCTTATTATCAAGAGCACAGCATGGCTTCCGAAGGAACCTCTCATGCCTGTCAAATCTTCTCACTGCAAGAGAAAGCTGGGTCAAATCCAGGGACAACAGAAGACCCGTTGACGTCGTCTTCATAGACTTCAGCAAAGCCTTTGATAAAGTACCCCACAAAAGACTACTCATGAAGTTGGAAAGTCTTGGTATCAAAGGCAGCTTACTAAACTGGCTCAGGGAATTCCTCATAGATAGGAGGCAGAGGGTTAGGATCAACTCGAAACTCTCCTCTTGGACAGCAGTACGCAGCGGAGTGCCACAAGGCACGGTACTTGGACCTCTCCTATTTATTTTGTATATCAATGAGTTATCTCTACTCACCGACTCCCCTATGGTCCTATACGCAGATGACTTAAAAATTTGGAGAGAGCTGAAGGGCAACAGTGACACGTCCACATTGCAAGAGGACCTCAACAAATTGTCAGAGTGGTCCATAGAATGGATGCTCCCGATAAATGTGGCAAAATGTGCAACCATGCGCATTGGACAAGCAAGCACGAGCTCTTATGAACTAGAGGGAATTACACTTCCATCAGTTCAGACTCACCTGGACTTAGGTGTCATAGTTAGCCACGACTTAAAAACTACAGCACACTGTCGCGCGGTGGCTGCACGTAGTTTCAGGTCATTATGGGCAATTCGTAGAGCCTTCACTAGAATCACCAGAGATATGTTCACCTCCTTATATACATCTCTGGTGAGGTCAAGACTGGAAAACTGCATCCAGGCCGCCAGCTCTTGTCTAAAAGGGGACTCACTTATTCTAGAAAGGGTTCAAAGAAAGGCAACACGTATGGTTCTCGGCATGACTAACTTATCATACGAGGAAACAGTAGACAGTTTAAATCTCTTCTCCCTGTCATACCGTAGGCAGAGAGGAGATTTAATCACAATGTTTAAAATTTTAAATAATGACTACAGACCTGACCTATTCTCTCTTTTCCTTCCCATCAGATCGGAATACCTTAGAGGACATAGCAGGAGAGTTCAAAAGCCAAGAAGAAATCATATTGCTGTTGAGTACTGGTTCTCACATCGAGTCATAAACCCTTGGAACCAACTCCCAGAAGAAGTGGTGTCTGCAACCTCAGGTGATTCGTTCAAGAAGGGTTTGGACAACCACAGAAATTTACTAGGAAAGGATTAACATAGGCTCCAAGCCTTCTATCCTCAACCAATAAATCTGAATCTGAATTTGAATCAATTCATACGCGCGTACTATGAACACATGAGGTTCACTGCTTACATTTTTTCTATATACTCTATGCCATGACTTCGGTGGATTCTAAGGTTTTACATAATAACGAGGCTGTCCACAATTGTTTGTCAAAAATACCTAGTAAGTTATTACCTCAAACCACCTTTATGAAAATGTTAATAACATACTAATGTTCATCTCTTCTTTTTTTATTACATGATTACTTAGGGACCCAGTTCTATGTCTAACGAATGGAATAACAGGTTAGTTTCATGTGTCTTATTCTATTCAGATAATATGTAAACTGGTTCATGTTATTTATCTATGTACTTACTAGAAAAATTTGATTTCATATGAATTCTAAAAGAAGCAAAATAGAGTCATCGGAAACTCCGGCAGTTGACCGTCATAATACTGCAGATGATGACAAAGGTAAAGATAATTAGTGGCTGGTTTGAATTATGTTCTTAATCAGGTTCGGGTATGGTTCGTCCGCCTCTACCCAGCCGGGATGCCACTTCGGAATCATTTTCACGACATAGTCAATTTGATGAATTACACGAAAGGGGCAAGCTTGATAACTGTTTTTGTTTAGTTCACCTGTTGTGTTGGTAATTTGTTATAAAACGTTTGTGAGTTTGATGTGATGTGAAGTGCAAAGATTTCGCGATACTCATGCAGAGGAATATCGCGAAATACAGTGACAAGCTAAGCTCAGTTTGTCACTATGTATTGTTCAAGGTATAAAAAATGTCCGTGATGTGATTCAGATTCAGATAATAAGAATAGTATTTCCTTGTTGCCCACGTTAATCCTTGCCATATATGTCCCTATAGAGATCTAATTTCTCTTCGAAAGAGTTCACCGATGGAGGTGATACTACGGAATCAGATAAGGCGTTCCAGTAGTTAAGCACTGTGAGAAAATCTAGGTTCCACATGAATTCTATTCGTCGTCGGTTTGAGCACCCTTTTGTGATCACCTCGCAATTGTATCCTAGAGGGATAGAAAGGTCAATTCTTAAATCATTCTTTAATTTATGGTATGCCAAAATTAAGTCGCTTCTCCTTCTTAATGATAATGGGAAGAGATTGAAGTGCTTAATCCCCTTCTCATGAGGAAAGTGGGAGATACCACCGACTGATTGGGTTCCCACCCTCTGTACTATTCCCAAGATATGTGCCTTCTTTTTGAAGCATGGGATCACCGCTTGTATGCAGTATTCTAGATGAGGCCTGGCATATGTTGCATAGATTTCTTGGATCATAGACTCATCTGATCGTTTGAAAGCCCTTCGAAGTGCCTATAGCATTTGAAAAAGCTTAGCTGCAGCTGCATTACAACCTACAATTGTTTTCAAGTCATAGCTGACAATAGTTCCAAAGTCCTTTTGTCCCTTATCAGCTAGCAGTTCTGTGTCTCCCAGTGAGTACGGCGTGTAGGACCTCTAACCTAAGTGCGTTGCCGGGCTTTTTTTGGAACTAATTTCCAGACTCCAGAGGTTCGACCACTCAGTCAATTTATCTAGGTCACTTTATAATACAAGTCAGAGAAATCTCTTTTCGTAACTCCACTTAAAAATACACATTTATTTCAGGTTTGTGTATACAATGTTAATTAACAAAAAAAAATCAGGGATTACTGTCAGTAAGTGACAAAATAAATAGTCCTAAATAATTGTACAGCTTTGAAGTGCAGTTACGAAAAGAGATCTCTTTGCTCATCCTCATGTTCTTAACTATGTATTGTATTGGCAAGTTTGGAAATCAAATCGGTAATCGTTATTGATAGTCTCCGGCAGATTTCTTCATTGTCTTCGGTTGTTATACTTGTTCAAAGATTTGTTGTCTTTTCTACTAAATTTCTGATTTCTTTAATTGGACGTGATGTTCAGAGTCGACTGTTTTTGAATCATCAGTTTTTTTTACATATGACAGTTTTCTGTTTAACACTAAGCGTCTGCTGGGTATAGTTACTACTGCAGTCAGTTAGACCTTAAGAGGAAGTCAGGTCTTTGTTGTCAGCCAAAGTTGGGATTGAATTCTGTTAGTCAAAAGTTATTGTCAAACTGAAGGTCTATCAACGTTCAAACATGCACCAGTGCATGGTTATGCAAATCATCACTGTGAATCTTCACAATAAGTAGGTTTTATAGAGGAAAATGTAAAAATGAAAGTGATGTTATCAAAAGTTGTAGACTGCTGTAGGAAAGATCATCGTAATTCTATTGTGGGTAAAATTTATTTTGATAAAGTCTCACAGTGTTAAACAGTAATATTTACTGTTGAAGTTTCTTAATAAAGTAGGAATTAGGATGGTATTTAAACGCACAAACTCACTTTAGTAGGACAAGCTCTTTAGGCTAAAGGACCCGGTGGACCCAATTAAACCAAATAATATAATTTACAAAATACCTTGCAGTGACTGTGAGGTCAACTACCTAGGTCAAACTATTAGATCAGAAGTAGTGAGATTATCAGAACATAAGAATTTAGCTAAGGTAAGAGTGATTTACTCTTAAAATATAAGTAATTTACAAAAAACTCAGCAATCACACTGCATGCATTAACACGCAACCACACAATAGGGTGTATGGGACAGCCTTAAAATTCTGAGAAGTTATATAGGCAGGTGGAGATGGAGAGAGGTTGATTACTGAATCCTTGTTCGTTGAGTCCTACACCCAACATGTGCAATAGGATTGACTCATCACTCATACCGGAGTTATGGAAAATACTATTACCAATCAAGTCAAGCGATGAGTGGAAATAATGGAATTATATAAACGAATTTAGAAAGTTGTATGAGTAGTGCCTTGATATGATTATGAGCAGTGAATTGTGCTCAAAACGTGGTCACCAGTAAATATTACTTACTGTATAACAACACTGTGAGACTTTATCAAAATAAATTTTACCCACAGTGGAATTATACTCTACCATGGGGCATAAGTTCTATTCTTATTTCAAAGATAATTGCAGCTGAGGTGTGTAAGTGCAGTTGTACTGTTGCAATTGGCCTCCAATTATATCACATAGATTATTTAATAAATGGATAGATGCAGGTGGCAGACTGCCATCTTCATCTATAGCTAAACATCTAATCGATATGAACCACAAGACTGATGTCGAAACAGCTTTTAAGACTGAGGCGATAGCTATTCGTAAACTTAAGCCCCCTGTTTATGCACAAAAAACAATTTGTAATTACTTCTAACCTACCTTGGTAATGAATTGAAACTTACCTGGCGCCAGTTTCATGTTGGATTCAGGAGAAACAAGTCATGAATTGATCAGATCGCCACATTACGGATCATCATTGAACAAAGCTTGGAGTGGCAGTCACCTCTCTATCTCAACTTCATCGACTTTGAAAAGGCCTTTGACAGCGTCGATCGAGAGGTGATTTGGAAACTACTTCGCTACTACGGGGTGCCACGGACAATAATACATCTCATCCAACAGCTATACGACAATGCCGCATGCCAAGTAATCCACAATGGGAAACTTACGGAACCCTTCGAAGTGAGGACAGGAGTAAGACAAGGCTGCCTACTATCACCAATGATTTTCTTGATTGCAGTAGACTGGATAATGCGGCAAACAGTGGGCAATGAGGAAACAGGCATAAAATGGACACACACAAAAAACTTGGAGGATCTCGACTTCGCCGATGGTATATGTCTGATTTCCCACAAACTGGAAGATATGCAAGCGAAAAGCAACAAGTTAGCAGAAGAAGCATCAAAGAAAGGACTTCAGGTGAACATAGAGAAAACAGAGGTGATGAAAATTCCTGGGCAACACCACCAACAGCAACAACAACAACTGACAACAATCAGCATAAATGGGAAGAACCTGAAAGAAACAACCTCCTTTACCTACCTTGGAAGCATCGTTTCAACTACAGGCCGGCGGAACTGACGAGGATATCAAAGCAAGGATCGGAAAAGCAAGACAAGGTTTCACTACTCTCAAGTCTGTGTGGAGGTCAACAACACTCAGCATCAAAAATAACATCCGGATTTTCAACTCCAATGTGAAGTCAGTCAGTTCTAATATACGGATCAGAGACTTAGCCAGCGCGTCATAAAGAGCATCTCAAACAAACTACAGACCTTCATTAACAGTTGTCTTCGCTCAATACTCAAGATCAGATGACCGGCCAGAAAAGATCAGCAACAGGGATCTTTGGGAACGAACCAACCAGGAACCGATTGTGAAACAAATAGGCAGGAAGAAATGGAGATGGATTGGCCCTACTCTGAGGAAACCATCAAGTGACATCACTAGACAAGCCCTTGAGTGGAACCCGAAAGGGAAGCGGCGAGTTGGTCGTCCAAAGGTCACTTGGAGTAGGTCATGTGAAGAGGAGATGAAAACGTGTGGGCAGACTTGGAGCCAGGTGAAGACTCTAGCAGAGAACAGAACGCAATGGAGACGCACAGCTGAAGCCCTATGTTCCTCTAGGAATTAAAGGATACAATAATAATAATAATACCTTGGTAATCCTTATCTGATTAGATAAACAAACGTAGAGTGTTAATTAGTCTTATTATTCTTAAATCCTTTTTGTTACTTTGTGTATTTTAATTGGCCTTTTTATTTTTCTTATAAATTGGCTCGAAAAGTAAATATGTGTGATCAGATTGTTTGAAATATATTCCGCGAATACATCACATCACTTTTTTCAGAAAATATTCATTTTCTAATAACGCTATCCAAATTTGTAAAAGAGACCAGTTATTTTAAATATTACTTTTCTTCCATGTATATTCTAGCCAGATTCATGAGTACTTGTCTTATATTAGCGTATCTTTGTGTCCCATCTAACTTTATCCCACTTCTTACAACAGTACATTGAGGTAGATTGTTTTGTAGGCATGCATGTGTAACACATGTCGCAGCCGAATGAGTCATTTTAGTTTCCCAATATAAATTTTATGGGGTTATCATTTTATGAACTGTCATCAGTCAGAGTTCTACTCATTAGGTATGATCTTACTTAAATTTTTTAAAATAAATGTTATGATAAGAAGTGATGTTTTTATGTCAGAATTCGCAGGATTTGTTAATATATAAATATCGATCTATGGGGATTATACATGTCGTACAGTGTTTTTAAGTGAAAATGAAAACAAGAGACTCTTTTCAACGAATTTATTATCAAGCTGTACAAACGTATATTTATGGTTTTTAAGAAATTATATCCGCTGAGAGGTGAAGACACTACAATGCTCAAGGTCCCCTGAACTCCTTTGATATTAGTGTTAGAAAATACGAAGAGGTTACCAGTCCTTGATCATAGGTATCTTTGTATTGCTTATCAGTGCTCCCCAGAAAGGCGTGTCTGGAATTTTAAACGAATTGGAAGTACAGCCTGAGTAATATTGATATGTAGAGTGATAAATAAGGAAGATTCGTTACTCTGTAGTGTTACCGGTCTTTACTGACTATAATAGTTTGGATACGTAATATATATATATGCTGAGCAACCGCCACTGCTGATGAGAAAACTTGAACTGAAATAGGATAGGTTAAAGGATCAAACCATATCAAATCGAAATAT